CAAGCCGCGTCGGGTGAAAGGGTTTGGCAAATAAAAATCCTGTCTCAGCGTGAAATTGGCCACTTTCGCCCCTCTCTCTACAGGCATGGAAAGTCGAACTTTCTGTGAAGGTGTTGTGAAAATATATTTATATTATAAATATAAAATTAAAATAAACTGAAGTGTCAAGAAACTCACAAATTATATGATATGATGCTGATTTTGTTGGCATGCTGGATGTAATGGTCATATGCCTAGCTTAATGAATAGAAAGCAAACAAAAATATAGGTGCTATAAAAATAGCTAAATAAAACAAGCTTTAGTGCTAAATATGCATCAAGTCAACCTCAAAAATGAGCAAGATAACTAAAACACAGCATGCAGCTCATATTCAAAATTAATTCCATACCTCATACGCCATCAATATGCATGTCATGGACGAACAGATCACTTTGAGATGACTATACCGATGAAAGGCAACGTTTAAGGCTTTTGCTGGCTCGATTGCCAAGTCCACGTTGACAGCACACACAGCGTCGCACTTGGTAAAATTGTGAACTACAAGACATAAAAAAATAACCGTTAAAAAGTTAAATTATTCTTGCAACTTACAGCGTCAATTTTCGTTTCAGTGCTGTGTTTTTATATTTAAAATAACTGTCGTAGTATTAAAATATACCGAAGACTCCTATTTTGTTATAATTTTAATATGTAAAAGCAAATATTTTTATTTCAATTTGGCTGTCAAACAGCTTGTTTCGTCGTTGATGAGACACAATTCAGTTCGACATATGTGGGTTATTTATTGATTGTCCAAACAAAAAAAGGAGTTTTCAGTATATTTTACAAGTATATTTTACTGTCGATTACAAACTCTATTTAATTGAAAATATAATTTTATTTTAATGTACGTTGCAAGCATTTTTATGATATATTTTCTCGCTTCTCATCGATCCAAGATGGCTGCAAAGTAAACAAGAGCCTTAAATGACGGCCGTTACTGGTGACAGTGTGTCAACCCAACAAACATTAAAAGAGGTATAATGTAATATATGTATAATACGGAATCATATAACACGGATTCGTATAACACGACGGAAAAATTTTAATATTTGTTTGTTTTAAAGTAGAATAAAACATATTTTATTACTGCATGTTCAATATTTATTTTACATTTTTTATAATAAACCTTTAAATCTTTTATAAATATGTGTTTCCATATGCATACATAATCTGTAGAATATTTGTGACTGGTATAACATGGATTCTCTCTCTCATATAACATGGATTCATATAACATACATAGAACGCATCCCCGGTGTTATACGCTGTACATCCAAATTTATATGTTTTGGATATGTATCCAGATTTAGTTATATTACGATTATGAATATTTGTATACTATTTATGATGTTATAATTGTTCAAATATTGTAACATTTCATTGGGAATAGCGTTGAAGCTCAGCATTTCAGAGGACTGTAACTACTATAGAAAGAATGTTTGAAATCGTAAGTAAGATCGATTTTTCTATCTATAAACCATATTGCGCTATTAAACGAACTGCATAACTAAGTTGCCGAGTCACGTAGTTAGCTAGGTCAGTAACGATACGTATTCATTTGCAACGAACACGTCGCAAACACGTCGGAATAAATTAAGTAGTATTTAATTAGGAAGAGCGAAACGATTCGCTTGCGCCGTTTCGCGTGTACGAGCTCATTACGAATTACAAGTGCTAATTACAAATGTCGTAGCTACACATACATAATCTATCGTCGAAAGATACACAAGGATGATAATGAAAATTAATGACGCAAAACATTTCGCGTGCATCACGTTAATAATTTACACTGTGATCATCGTGACATTTTAGAAGTGAATGGAAATGTTTCAATTGAACGTCGCGCTAGAAAGCAAACTTTCCTAGGTGCAAATTGCAGCACAAACAACGTACACCAGTAAGCAAAGGAGCTCTTTATAATGGAATGTACAGACCGTATATGCTAAATTAATACTGTATAAGATCTAGTTGATGCGCTCAACATTCTCCCACAACTACGGAATCTTACATAAATGTATTAGAAATCCAACGAAGATATCTTAAAAATTCAATCGAAAATGTAACACCTTAGTAATAATTTAAAACTCATTAAATTATTAACTTATTACCGCTGTCTACACTTTCATATCAATGAATATATTAGTTCCTTATAGTCTTATATAGATGACTGTAAATATTTTACGCTTGTATAGCACGTATTTTAGTATTTTAATATTTTAATATGTATGTAAAAATTTCTTCGTAACGTACAATATTATATATACGTACAATATTATCGTCTTTATTTGACGTTATTACGGTTCGATGTTAGTTATTATAAAAAGTTATTATAAATATAACAAGAGCTTGCAGAATTATAACTTTTTGATATTTTTAGGTGAATTTATCAAAGGTAAAAAAAAGTTTTCATGTATAATAACTTTGTATTGCAAATTATACAGAGTTACAATATAATACGTGGAAAAGTCTTTGTATAAAATGTTAAAATATTTTTACAAATTGCTTATTTGTCATATGTAACAGACAAAAATACAAACAAAAATTTTTGCAATTGTTATATAATTTAGTAAATAAATAATATAATTTATAATTAATAATAACTTTTAGTAAAAGATTTATTATATTAAGTTTTAGAATATCAGCATTATTTAAACAAAATTATTTTTTGTATTTTTGTATGTCTAAAATGCCTGAAAAAAATCTTGACGTAAAGAAAATCTAGCTTGTCACCGTCAATTAATAGGTCTCTAATATTATAGTATAAAATTCAAAAATATAAAACTCCTTTTCACACTTCTCGTTGATAATCTCGAACGGAATGTTTGTATGAAATATTTTAATAATTTTTCATTTTGTCAGCATATTCAGGACACATGCCTCACTCTTTTAGTCTGGTTGGATACGCGGAAATGGAGGCATAAATTTTGCACGTCCCTCACGTCTGTAAAGTACGCGCGCATGAGAGTGATCGCAAATATCGCGTGCGGCATAAAGAATAGTAAGCGAAAGGTGAAAATTGCCGTATAAAGCAACCAATACGAGACAGCCGGTAACATAAATTCCGCATTATCGTGACGTTTTTCCGGCAATTACGGCTATATTGTCACGTAAATTGAGTCACGTCGATTATTCGCTTATAGATTAATACCGATAATGACGCGTGCGGCCGCCGCGTCACGCGATAATATCGACTCGCCGATGAAACTTTCTCGACGCGATGCGGTGCACGGGGCTGAAAATCAGTAAATTTTTTAAGCCCTACCCTGTAAATCGTTAAAACGAGCGTGATGACGTTAACAACGTGGGCGTTGCAGTCTTCGGGTCTGCATTCAACGAAGTCTAATACTGTTAACTTTTTTTCGGGCTGGATGTAATCAATAATTGGGAGAAAAAGAAAAACACAAAACGCGCCGTTTCAGTGATATCGTGAGAAATAAGAGAAGAGAATAAAATGTGAAAAACAACAAAATAACAACAAAATAAATATCAAAAGTATTGAGATGCCATAATATAGAATAGAAATCAATAAATTCAATAAATTCATCAAAGTTGTATATTAATAGCAAACGTTCTATGTTCGCGAACATTTAATTAGTTCATTGGTGTATTTCATAATAACTATTATTACATATTTACACATTTCGCGAGTAATAATGATGAAATATTCCAAAATTTTTTGAGAGATCTCTCAAAAATCATGTTATATCAATTGTTAATTAATAATTCTGTTCTTAAGCAAAAGTGGGACACGGTTTAGAATAATCGCTTGAATTAAGTAACACATCTTAGCTCATTTCTTATGAAATACGTAATGTGGAAGTTCTAAGATCCAAGGAAGCTCTGAATGCCACTTTAATACATTCGTAATCCTTCTCGGGAACTTCGATACCTTCCGTGACACGTGCACGTATCAACCTGCTAACCTTCATTTCAAAATTAACTTCGTCACGAGTGAACTTAGTATTATTAAATATTGTATTTTAATGTGTCAAGAAGTGTGTTCTGCATTCTTTATAAATTAAATACGTCGAGACACATTATTGTCGGGCGTCATAATTACGACAATTATTTCTCAATTATTACTACACATGTTAATTAAGAAAATATAAATTTTGAAACGCATCGGAATTCTTATAAAATTCGTGAAGATATATGGTAAACTGTTATAACAAATCGACGGTACTCTAAGCGCGAAGAAGTTATTTCAACTTTCCACTATAGCGGTATAAAACGTGGATGATAAAAGTTTGAAGAGATAGGAACCTTAAACAAAATGTTCTTAATCTGTTACACAAGCAGACCTTCTGCGCACGTGGACGTATTGACTTCTTAACAGGCCGGTTTCGTAATCTCAGTTCATTGAATTTCTTCGGTTTCTTCCTCTCGCGTAGTTGACGGAAGAATGACTTTGATAGCTTACAAGAATAAGCTCGACATTCTACGCGCTCGCTAGAAAGTTATGATTCGCTATTAAAGAACGAGATTTGCCGGGAGTCCTAAAGGGGACGTCCTTCCAGAAATGCTGTCGTTCGCTCGAAAGCAGTTAAGGTACTTGAGAAAAGTTTTCTTCGTCGACACGGCGCTTCATAAAACGCTGCAACGCTCCGTAAGCAAGATACAATACGCCGCAAATGAAGTTACGAGAGTTTTGACAATCGGTTAACGCTGGATGAATACCGTCGCTAGATGGATTTATGAGATTACGGTAATGCGGAGAATTTACTGGGATATTGCGTATGTACCGAAGCGTCAGAGAGATGCGCCAAAACTATAGACTGAAACTTAAAAGCAGGGAAAAGTAAGGCAACAGGATTTCCGAATTGTAATGAACGTCATACCATACGCTCATCTCTGTTTTATATTTTATTATTATTACAAAGAATGTTGAGCATTTATGCAAGAATGCGCAGATTCCATTTTAAAATATCAGAAAGAATTCTATAATAATACCAAGATTGGACCGGGTCTTTAATTGGAACAGTCTGATGCAATGATGATCTAATTCACGCTTTAATCTTAAAATATATAAGTCTGTATTAGTTTTGTCAAGTACCTGGCATAGATTAAGTTGCCCTCTTGTTTACTTATCACTACTATCTCAGATTGTGACGTCAGAAATGAGAAAATATACAATAACAATTCTTGCTAAATACATTAATAAGATGGAAATATGTTTCAATAAAGCTACACTTACAATCGATAGAACCGACTTGTAAAATATACCGAAAACTATCTTTTTGTTTCGAGGAGGAATTCAATCATATTTATTTCTATATATATTATTTGACAGTTATTGTCATTGGCTGTGAACATAGTTTATTTCGTTTTTGGTTATGCATAATTCATTTCCAGATATATGGTTGTTTATTAATTAACAAAAAAAAAAAAGAATTTTTGGTATTTTACAAGTCGGTTCTATCGAGTGTGTTGTTTTATTAAAACATATTTCCATTTTAATATATTTAGCAAGAATTTTTATTGTATATTTTCTCGCT